CAGTTCGTGCCGGGTAGGCGAGGCTGAACGGCCTGGCCGCGCGTTTAGGCGCCCGGCAGCGTCGTCATGCCTGTAGTTGATGCACGGTGAGGCTGGAGAGTGAGAATTTTCACCACGATTCTGGCGGGCGTTGTGAGAAGTAGGGCAGGCTGTCGGGCTACGTACAGGTCATTAGCCCAGAAAGCGAGGAACGACTACTCCACAAAAAAGGTCGTTCCCCGCTGAAGCTACCGGCAGGCCTTCCACGGGCCCCCTGCATCTTCCCAAACTAGATTGCAGTAGACAGGCTTGTGGCACCTGGGCCTGTCCCTCGTCCCTCTCCTCGGCTTTTCAGGGTATATTCTTACCCTTGTTTTTCCTCGTATACAGAGTAATCTCTTATCTCTTTCTGTCCTCAACGGCTTGCCAGGAGCCAGTTTTGTTTCTCATAACTTATCTCGTACATCGCATTTTGTTTATTCCCATTTCGCAGCACGTGTTGTCGGAGGTGTTCCGCCGTATCGCCCAGTACAAGATGGGCTCGCTGGGCTTGGGCCAGACATTGGACGGCATGGGCCAGACCCTGCCATCCCACCAGTTTGGAGACCAGTTCGAGTTGTGAAGGCAGGGCGAAGGAGGCGGAGGCGGCGGGGCTTGTAGGGCCACATCTGTGCGCCTGCGCGGCTGCTGCTGCTGCTGCCACGGAAGAGGAGGCCAGCGGGGTCCCTGCAGCTGCTGCAGTCTGTGGGGTGCGGCGTCTTCGACGTATGTAGCCACATAGAGCGGGGAAGAGGAGAATGGGGAAGAGGGAGCTACTTGCCAGAGGAGCACCTCAAATGCCGTGTGGCGGGTGCGCATCGGGCAGGGGTTCGCGTCTGGGAGGCGTCCCCAGGCTTTCATGCGCTGTGGGGCGTAGTTGGCGCTGGAACGAGGGGTTGGAACGCAATGTGGGAGTGCCGAAGCCAGCGCAGTCGGTAACATGCTCGCTGCATGAACGGCGTAAGGCTTCAGCGACGTGAGCGCTGTGGGTGGCGATCTGCGAATAGCAAAACAAGCAGCGTGTTGTTGTTCGTTGCGGGGATGACCTTGGATGCGCTCTTCCACCCCACCACACTTCATATCACTTCACTGCGGTGCACGGTACGTTGTGGCGGCTCGCGGCTGCCGTGCTGGACGGCTGATGAATGGAGGGGGACACGTTGTAGTTCGGCCCTACTGCAGGGCTACAGTGTTGATGACGGCCGTTACCGTCGCTGAGCTGCAACCTCCTCCCTTCGTTGGGCTGATTGGCACCGGACCCTGCCATGTGACAACATGGAAGGATACCGGGTGACAGTTCGGGGTGTGGGCCGCGGCAGGGGAGGCTGCACGAAAATGGCCGCCTGTAGAGGATGAAATGGGTCGAGGAACAAATGTTGTCTGCTGCGAAGCGCTCGTGGCACACATACGCACATGCGCACACGCTGGCAGATTGTGTGGGGAGTGTACATAGCTTTGAATTATGGCTGGCATGCGGGCATGTGCGTGTGAGTGAGCAGGAAGGGACAGTGATGCGCGGGTATTTGCCATGGCGGTGCCGCGGCTGGCTGGTTCATTCGGTGGCTGAGTGTACCAAGTATGGCAGCTGCGATGTGCGGTACCATATTATAGTAACCTGTAAGGCGGCGCACTTGGGGGGGGACAGCTTTGGAACGCAGCGGCGTGGGTTGGCTTGGCTTGCTCGCTGAGCGGGACTGCAGGGTATCTACGATGTAAGGATAATGGATGGATGGATATGTTGCTAAGGTGGATTGATAGAGAAGATGCAGAGGGAGGTGGACCCAAGGTCCCGACAACCCGCGGCTCAGGGCGGGGTGGGCCAACCGTTGGCCGCAAGTATAAGGGATAACAGCTCAGGCATCATGCACACGAGTGCAAAGGTGCAACCCCTCGGAACTGTAAGCTTATGGATAGCCGATGCACAGCGCGGCGCGTTACCAAAGGCTGAGGTTGCAGCGTGCAGCAATGGTATGGGAATAGATGAAAGTGCAGCGCCCCGTTCCGGTACTTGTTACTATTGCTTCATCAAGACATCACCTCTTACATCCACACAGCTCAAGTTCAAATTCATTTATACTTCATTCATAGAGTGCAAATAATCTTATAAACTGCGATATAAAAATTCCCTGTTTTGTTTGTTACAAGCTTCTTGAGCTCGAGGCCGCGAGCTCGTAAGACTCGGACCTGCCAGGAGGCTCATGGACCACTACACTCAGCAACAGAAAATAAGGACATTAAAATTAGGAAAATGTATAGTACGACAGATACCACGACATGCAAACCGAAAAGCAATCTGATGCCTCCCCAAAGGTCGCACTAAGTGATTAGGGTAAGAAGCAGATAAGGGTGTTTTCGAAGACCATGTATAACCTGACCACCCTGATTTC